TTTGTAATGAGAAGATGTGGCTTAGAGAGCTAACAATGAGGAAGGAAAGAAAAAAGTTGGGCTGTGAATGACTGTCACCGCAGGGGGGGGGAGGGGAGGAGGGGTTGTATGTTTAAAATTGTATTTGTATTTCCTGTTACATTATTGAAAACGTGGTTTGTAATCAGTTCCTCAAAATAGGAAAACCTTTGGACTTACTATTTGTGCTAATTGATAAGACACACGATTTATCTTTCTAACAACTGCATTGCATATTAAAACCATGTTTAGTTTTCCTTTCATAGAATAATTATGCTAAACTATTGCCAGAGTTCCCAAGGCAAGATCTTCCTGCCTTACCTTTCTTTTAGATGTTTCTAAATATTAACATTAAATGAGTATTATTAAAAAGCTGGCATGCTGCAAAGCCAAACAGTGGCACTAGAGTCATTTACAGTTATTTCTGTAAATATCTCAGAATTCGACACAAAATTGGTGGCTGGCTACAGTTTAGGTCTTTGTTATAAATGAACAGAAAGTAATCTAGGACTTGAAAGCAGGTGGCAGAAAGCTAACAACAACAAAATAAATTATTTGGGACTGAAAAGCTCCAATCAGCAACAGCAGAAATATACTTCTATAGATGTTTAACTCTCTTTGTTTCAGCATACTCGACGGGATTGGCCTTGTGACCTTCTATCTCTCTCATAGGATTTGGAGTGGACTGTCACCCCGCCTAGATTACTTCTTGTGCTCCCAAATCACATTCCATTGGTTGACAAACACTGAATTACCATATCTCTACAACAGATAAGAGTCAAAATAATGAATTCTAGTTGAGGCATTTCATAATTAAATTGACTTTTGTAAACCCTATCTATAACCTTAAAGCTCAGCAACTACATTTTAAATACTGACACATTTTACATCAAATTAGTATCGATTTATTCTTTTGTATAGAAATTGGCTCACCTGTCTTATGTTGAATGCAATATTTTACAATTCTACCCTACTCCTTTTCCAGAAACATGAAATCTGCATTTTTCTTTCTCAGAGCTACATACATTTGATCAAGTTAATGCAGAAGTTAATACAGTTGTTAAAACTAAGGTGGCAGGCCAAACCAAAAGATAGGCCTCAAGTCTGAACCAAACTAAGGCTCCATGATATTAAGTTTGAACTTCTCTACATATAAACTGCTTAGCTTGCTCTTAAGATATAGCGTGGTTAGACATGAGTTATAGTATCAGCAGAAAGGATGTCTGCATCCAAAATATGCTGAGGCAAGGAATCTATTTTAGCCCATCCGCCTGCTTATCTGTTGATTTGTGTATTAGACATATATTGTTAGTTCCTCAAAAGACCAGATGTACTGTCCATTGGCTGACCCATGTATTATGACATTCTATAGACACTATATCTCTGTAACCCAAGGACAACTCCTGAGAGGTGTTTCCAAAACCAACAGATGGTTGATGGCGAGATGGGGAGGATGCATCATCACCACTATATAAGGAAGTCCCTGAATCCCACTTGGGGTTCAGGCCATTTACTCTTTGCTATGAACCTGCGCAAATAAACCATTCCTTCTCTGAAATGCTGGCTTGGGTCCCATTATTTCTACAACAAAACTATCACAAGAAATAGTTTGGAATGGTATAATATTTTTATATGCATATTACGTATTAACAAAGAACTAGCTTACCCAAGTCATGACAAAGTCCAGCAATTTGAACACAGAGAATATCCCTCTGATCAATATTCAGTTCAGGTTGTCGTTCTTGCAACGCCTGCACCAAACGGCCTGCGAGATGACTAACGCTTTTCCAAAAAAGAGAAGAAATTAACTTTTCTATGTCTTGATTTATAAATAAAACGGGAGTTAAGTTGTTAATGCAATGCAATTATGAACTGGGCTATAAGGCTTATTTAAATTCTGAATTTCAATATTATATAGTAGAGAATGTTTCATGTTACTGATCTTTGTTTCGAACAAAGTGAAATGTGAACTTTAATGTGAAACAAGGAAGATTTTTTTTCATTTATACACACTACTATGTAGACGCAAGTTTTTTTTTTAACTTAAGCAGAAATTAAGAAAAGTTTTGCATTCTCTCCTGTTTATTCTTTGCATGGAGCATGGAAACCCTACATTATAGAGACTACACAAAGCCCAATGGTATTCGACATAATAAAATGCACTATATTCAAGATAATGTCTACATAAACCAAGTAGTCTTTCTTTTCATCTACAATTAGTAGTGGTGATTCCCAAAGTTTAAGAAAAAATACTATGTATTATAAATTTTAAGGGTATCTAAAAATACACTTACATAAAGCAAAATTTAAATATACAAATCTCCCTCAATGAAAAACATATAGCAGGAACTGGCTGTTTTAAAAAATTCAGTAGAATCATTTTATTTATACAAAAGCAGTTTCTGTGTATAGTACTCCTTTACCCAAGAGAATGTTCAAAGCGATTGTGTGATCCTCCTGGGAAAACATAGTAAGTGCCACCCAATTGTTTAATATATCGTAGACGCTGAAATTGAGGTGTGTCAATGATGCGAACAAGAAGAGGATGCATTTCAATATGACCATGGATTGGATCATTAAAAACCTGGAAAAAACAAAACAACATTTTAAAATATCAGTTAATCTATAATGAATATTTCAATCAAGAATAAACACTGCCTTTTTCTAATTCTAAAAAATTAAGATAAACACAGGGTAATTAAAGGCCTGACTCACAAATAACGAATAGCCCAAATGAAAATCAACTGGGACAAATTAACCACCCATATAAAACAAAAGTTGAAAATCCTAGGCTAATGATTTAAACACTCCGTTATCTTTCTTCTGCCATTTCCAGAACTACTGTAGATGGCTACTCTCTTATCATCTTCAGCAGATTTGGGGAGGAAATAAAGCCTGCAGAGAAAGCAGGATTTTTTAAAAAACGTTATCTGTTCCAAAAATATTAGCAAAATTCTTATGGAATGTATGGACCTTGTTGTTTTTTTTTGTTTTTTTTTTAAGCAGGGAATTTTAACTTTCCAGATTTCTAGTTTTATCATCTAAACCTCCATTTCTTCACAGAATTTAAGTAATTCTCAAAATAATATGGTCATTCTTAGAAAGTTAATGTTTGTCCCATTCTTATCTACCAAGAACTTGTTTCTGGTTTTACTCAAAAAAGTCTGTTGCCTCCCTTTCTTGCATTAGAGGTCACAAGACATATTTAGATGCTGCTGGGAAAGCTTAAACCAGATCTCAATTATCAGGAGAAATTGATACTTTAACGTAACTCCAGCTTGAGATCTGCAGGTAATAAGTGCTTATTTTCCTGCAATAATCTTCCCTGTTTTCAAAGTTACATATATGATTAAATGCCTGATTTTCTGCTTAATTTTGTTCTGGTTATATAGGATTTTTGCTTTGTTTATTATAACAACTGATTTATTATGTGCTATCAGGTAAATGCTGACTTTTAGTGACCATATATTTTTTTCCAAGGCACTCTGTCTTCAGGTTAGTCCTTTAAGTCTTCCAATGGTAAACTCTTACTGCTGGTCATCTTCCTTTCCTCTTTCTTGATGACCCATTTGTAGGCTCATCATGTATAAAGTAGGCGGCTATATGTTTTCCAAGCAAATATAGCAAATTAATGAAATAACTACTTGTTATGCCAGTTATTAGAATACACTAATTAAATGTTCAAGTGCACACAGAGGCATAAAAGAAATTAGCATACCGAGTTGATGAACATCAGTGAAAGACAAGATCAGCATCTATTGGCTATTATTTTTATCATTTTAAGATTATAGTTAAATTTTAAAAAAGTATATGTTTTTTGTGCTGGACATGCATATATCCGTTCAGAAAGACTGTAATAGGGATTCAGTTAAATATTGGAGATGTGTAATTCAAAATACAACATTGGTTCATACGATCCAATCCCGTTCATGTCAAAAATACCTAAGATGCTTCCAGGTTAAAAGGATTAGCTGGTAAAATCACTGTTGCCCAGGGGACACCCAGTTGGGGGCCTTTTCATGTCCCCATTAATGTGCCCACCGAAGCAGTACCTCAAACTATTACGTTGGCTGGAGGTGAAATGAGACAACAGCACTCGGGTCTCAGACTAATCGTCAACCCAGAGTCCTAACCACCACAGTCCTATGGTTCATAGATATGACCTTCTGTTATTGTGACTTCCTTTTAAACAACTGTTACTTCATTTATTAATTTTGTTTTAAAGTTCATTGAATTTTATAAACACTAATGTTCTTTTGAATTTTATAAAAATGATTTGGAAATTCATGGAGGACAGGAAGCAGACCAGGTGGTTTAACAATTGTAAAATTCCAGGACTATTTAGAAAATTAGAAATTTGGACTGAATTGTAGCTTGTTTCCCAATGTTAAATAAACTGGATTAAGTATTAAAATATAGCACAGTGATAGCGAACCTATGGCACACGTGCCACAGATGGCAAGCGGAGCCATTTGTTAGGGCACACAAGGCGTTGCGTTGGCCAGCTGACTTCATCCTTCTTTTGAGGCCATTTTTTGCCCTCTGGAGGCATCAGGAGCCTTCAGGAGGCTTCCCTGAAGGCTCCGGAGGACGAAAAACGGCCCTACAAGCAAACTAGAAGTTTGTTCCTGAACTTCCAGTTTGCCCATAGGCTCAGTTTTTCGCATTCCGGAGGCTTCAGGGAAGCTCCTGAAGCCTCCGGAAGGCCTCCGGGGGTGGAGAAGGCTGGTTTTGCTGGGATGCGCGGATAGCATTATAGGTGTGGCATGCCCGCACACGACCCGCCTGCACTCCCCCCACTTTTGGCACGCGAGCCAAAAAAGGTTCGCCATCACTGATATAGCATTACAGGAAGACTAATTTTGTTTGGTACATTCCTTTTTCAACATACATGATAAATAAGAAAGTGTTTGTTCACCTTTGCTATTTCAGTGTAACTCTGACTTTGTGCCAGTTTGCGCAGACAAATTAGCAGTTTCTCTCTCACTCCTACAGTACTGAAAATGAAGCATATAATATGACTTAAACAATCATTCAATATTTTATTTAGTAATGAAGTTAATATGGAAGCTAAATTAACTGCTACTAAAATATGAATTTTTACAGAAGTTTTTAGCAAAATATCTTCCGGCAGAAAGTGATGGTTATAAATCACTCATTTTTAAAGGATAATGTCATGAAGAAAAAATACATTTATTCCTATTCTAAAAGAAATGTTAAATTTACATTTACACATTAATTTTATTAATAAGAACATATACATATTTCATTTTCTCTTTTTATCCTGAACAATGTTTTGCATAGTGTAGCTATAAAACGGTATGCATACTTATAATAAGTATAAGACGCACCAAAGTTTTGAAGAGGCAAATTAAAAAAAAAGTTTTTGCACTCTGCAAACCTCACAAAAACGGCCCGTTTTTCACGAAAACGGGCCCATTTTTTTTTTCAAAAAAGGGCATGAATAGCCTTTAGAAGGCTTGTAGAATGCTCCTGGGGGGGGGGCAAAAACAAGCAAAAAACACCCTGTTTTTTGCAAAAACAGGCTCTTTTTTGTCAAAAAAAGGGCATGGATAGCCCTTAGGAAGCTTATAGAATGCTCCTGGAGGCTGGGGGGGGGGGGAAATTGAGCAAAAAACGGCCCATTTTTTTGCTCAGTTCTACCTCTCCAGCCCCCAGGAGCACTCCGAAAGCCTCCAAAAAGCTATGCACAGTCATTTTGGTGAAGGGGGTCAGGGTTTGGGGAGGCAAAAAATGCTGTATTCAGTGTATAAGATGCACCCAGATTTTCAGCCTCTTTTTTGAGGGAAAAAGGAGCGTCTTATATTCCGAAAAATACGGTATATCCTCATTTACATTCTGCAAGCAAAGCAGTATCCATTGTTGGGATGCTTTATGGCAGTTTTGATTCAAAGATGTATTCCCCACCCCACCCGTAGACCACAATGACCAATGCAAGAAACCTTTGGCAGAAATCAAAAGCTTCTTAGTGTGACTTGTTTCTGGCTCTCCAAGGGAAACAGGCAAGTCCCTCTCAGAGCATGTCTCTAAAAGACTCAGAGGGGCTGAAAAGACCTGCACAACCTGAATTGGGTAACAGTTCTTATCAAACAGGATACAGAAATAAGTATCCTTTTTGAAATAAGGTTACAGGGTCAAGAACAACAAACAACAGAGTGCAGGGAACAGAAACGGGATGTAAAATTAGAAAATATAGAGCGAAACACAGTAAGAATATAAATAGCATTAAAAGGACAAAGCGAAATAAGATAAAATATAAAGTCTTATTTAAAAATAAGACATTACTAGCAATAAAAGGTCACACAATGCTATATCATCAGGGATAAACTTTATTTTATTATTCATCAACAAAAGTTACTTATTGTATATCTTTGTTATAATAAAAACATTTTTGTTCAAAAGACAGATGTGAGTGTACTGTCTGAGTTTGTACTACCCATGAAATATAAGGCATGTACCAGAGAAGCGTGTCACAGTGTATACAGTGGTACTCCAAATTTCTCATTTTGAATAAATGATTTGTGAATCAGCTCAATGGGAAAACAAATTAATATTTTGTAGCGGCAGGGTATAAGCAAAATTTAAAAATAGAGGCTGTTAAATGTTTGGTATGTATTATGTTTATTTTTTCTTGTATTTTTGCTTTTTTATAGCTTCCATTTTATGTGTGTGTGTGTGTGTGTGTACTAAAGCAATATTTAAAAATCTTCCTAAGAAACAGCATCTGAAAATGAAAGCCACTTAAGTATATTATAGTATTTAGGCAACCAATAACAACTAAAGAGCTATGCAGATACAAAAGACATAACATTCTTATAATTTCTTCAATTTGAATAGATTAAAAAGTGGCTTACCAAATTCCCATTTTTTCAAGATGAGATTCAGTGAGAGATGGGACAGTTTCACCAGTTATTTCATGTTCTAGGGAGTTAAATACATAAATTTTAACATTTCTTCTGAAATTGTCATTTTGAAATTATTTGGCAGGTTACAATTAATCTAACTACAGGACTACAATCAATGAATAATATATAATTAATAAACCTGAAATACAGTATTGCTTTGATTCATGCAATTACAAATTCTTCAGAGAAGCTGTGACAATATAGTGTATGAAGAGGCTACTAATCCATATTAGTAGTTTATTGAGAGTCAGGCAATATAAACATTTAATAATTAAAATTAAAGGCATACATATCCTGTGAGTTAATCTTTCATATTACTGTAATAGTGATTCTTCTTGTTCCTTAAATATAGAAAAACCTGAATATTACATTTATCCACAAATAAATTAGCATAACCAGAGGACCTCCAATATACATTTCAAAACTTCTGTGGATACGAAAGGAAGTTACATAGTAAAGACTGTGAGTCTTGCCAGTGCTCTGAAGATTTGCTAATTGCATGGTAGTTTGATCTTGCTTACTTATGAGATAAGAACAATTTACTGAGCTGAGCTAGCAATTCTATGCCAGACTGTCAAAAATGTCTAGAAGACTACCACAGCCTTCTAGATTCAACTCAATCACCAAGCTTATTGGACACACCCTCTAACATTACTACAGGGGAATCCAATCTCAGATTTTAGTATCAGAGCAGATCATGCTTACTATGAAACAGGGAATCCAAGTGATCATATAACAATATATTCTTTTCTATCCCATGTAGTTTGATTGTAACATATTTCTACTCTTAGAATAGAATAGAATAGCAGAGGTGGAAGGGACCTTGGAGGTCTTGGGGTCCAACCCCCTGCCTAGGCAAGAAACCCTTCACCACTTCAGACAAATGTTTATCCAACATCTTCTAAAAGACTTCCAGCATTCACAACTTCTGGGGGAAAGCTGTTTTACTGATTAATTGTTCTGTCAAGAAATTTCTCCTCAGTTCTAAGTGGCTTCTCTTCTTGTTTAGTTTCCACCCATTGCTTCTTGTTCTACCCTCAGGTGCTTTGGAGAATAGTTTGACTCCCTCTTCTTTGTGGCAATCCCTGAAATATTGGAACACTGCTATCACCCCTAGTCCTTCTTTTCATTCTTTTTTTTTTGCAATGATTTTGTTTTTTGCCAATTTCATGGATAAATCCAGGGAGATTTTTTGACAACGGTAGAGAAGTAAGTTTTCCATTTCCTTCTTATGAAATGTTGACCTGGCAGGGTTTTTTTTTTACGTAGTATTGAGATATTTTATTAGACATGATTAGACCTGCCACAAACATATACCTCTAATACAAATGATCCTTGGCTCCATTTGTTGAGAAAGGTATAGTGTTATTTGAAGTGCATTGCAGTAGTTCATAGCCAGAACTGAGAATCGGGTGCCAAAATCTCTAAGTCCAACTTTTCCCTCCTGTAACTATCTCCCATTTCCCACCCCCATCAACCAGTAAGGTTCAAGCAAGCCTATCCAAGCAGAGATTGGTATGCAGTTGGTATGCCAGGTGACCTTGAAGAAGAATCTCCAAGAGATACAGCATTCACTTTCATTTTCCCCCTTGCTTCCCCACTCCCAGTACTTCATGGCAGTCTGTTACAATATAGCAGCGAAGCACAAGGAAGCTGACAATTACACTTTTATTAAGTGTACTGAAACCAGGTCCCACTTTGTTTTTGAAGATACTGTTGGCTTCTTACTTTTCGCAAGCCTTGAAGATAGCTTGCCCAAGGAAATGAGATAAGGCATACATTCCAAGGATAGCTTCACTTTAGATAAAAGTATTCTCAGAAAAGTTAGAGGCCCTAGCAAGGAAGAAAGGAAGAGTCCCTTATACAAAAATAGGCTGATGCAAGAAAGAGGTGACTGAGTAAGGGAGTGATATTCTATAAGAGGGCTGATTGTAAGGCATATAATGTGTGCTAAATGGAAGAGGAGGGGGCTGTGCAGTCCCCACTTAATGGACTACTCTCGTCATTCTTGAAAAATAAAGTACTTAATCTCATGCCTGTTGTTTCTTTGATCCCAATTCATGATAAACTTGTTAAGGAATAAAATTCCAACACAATTTAGGTCTCCCATCCCACACCTGACCCTGGTTAGTTTCCAAACCCAGGCAAGCCACCATCTGCAAAATCTCTACTGAATCACCCAGTGTAATTATTTTTATAGCCAAACTCCTAAAAATTATACTTAAAATCCAACAGATTAGTCAGAAATTAATATAATTATCATTCCAGGAAAACATCAGTTTTACTAAACAGAGCAAGCCACTAGACTAGAATATAAATTGACAGCAAACCGTCCTTCTTACTAGCTCTGGTGATGTTATCTAATTTGGATAATGAAATGTCTGCAAGAAAACAGAGAGCTTAGAGAGCACCGAGGACTCTGCAGATAATTTTGAATTATGTTTTCTAACAATTCATTTCTACAGTCACATTTCTAAGAGAGTAATAAGTTGTGTAAACTAAGCTGGACATTAGTTTTAAACTTACTGTATCATCTGTGTCTTGTAAGATTAGGCTACAAAAAATCAATAATAGCCCAAACTCACCCAGTGAAGAACCTCATAGCAAACAGAGTTCAACCTGAGTTCTAACCTCCTAATCCACTTACCTAAAAGCTCTTTATACTGTAACCTAAGCAAGACAATTCACAGGAAGATAGAGCAAGCGAGATCATTGCCAGGTGATTTCAATTGAAATATTATTTAGACATTAGCAATGATCAATTAAGAATTGGCTGTAGCAGCGTGAGGAGGAGGCAAATGAAACGATTGGCTTCTGGAAGTGAGGTTGAGTTCCACAGGCAGGACTAGAAGCAGTCTAGAGGCATTTCTTCATCAATGATTTATAGCCTCAGCCAGAAATTGCTGCACTGATGTAATCATAACAAAAGCAGGCCTGATATTGCTGCTACTTCCCCAAGGGCGGTATAATCCAAAAGTCAGGACATCATCCAATAGGTGAGTAACTAAAACACTAATTTTATAAAATTCATTTTAAATAATCAGTATAATAAAATGTTTGTAAAGATATAAATGTTCTCATTGGAAAAAAATGGCCCTCTTATCATGATAGAACCTATGTTTTGCGTAGAGTTAATGGTGGTTTAAGATAAAATATTGGGATACAATCTGATTGCTACACATCTTGGATTAAACCCACAGCACACCATTTTAATTCATTCTAAAAGGTGTGCTGCTTAGGTCCCTAGATGTCAATGTTTAAGAGAAGGGACCTAGTGTGTACCCACTCTATTTTACCTAGAAGTATGGGCAGATACCCTCAAGAGAGTGGATCCATAAGTAGGCTAAGCCCATGCCATTTAGGGCTTTAAAAGTGACAACCATTGTCTGGAAAGAAACTGGAGCCATTGTACCTCATGCAATAATGATGAAATATGAGCAAAATGTGAGGCATCTAGAACTGCAAATGCCACCACATTCTGGACCAGTTGTAGTTTCCAGATGATCTTCAAGGGCAGTCCCATGGAGAGCCATTGCAATAATTCATCTGGGAAATGACCGGGGTTTAAGTGACTGTGAACAAAATATCCCAGTCCAGGAATGACTGCAATTGATGCATGAGATGGATCTGTTTAAAGGCATGACTATCACTTGTCCCACAAACAGAATTTTCAAGTCCATGAATAGCCCCAAACTGTGTGCCAGCTGTGTCTGGTGGAATACCGGCCTGGCAAGAATCAAAATGACATACAGTATTTTTCCAAGTATAAGACACACTTTAGTTTTTGGGAAGGAAAATAAAAAGAAAAATTCTCCCTCTCCCTGCCAGCATCCATGGTATTCAGCTGACACATGGCAACAAGGTCAGCCAATGAATAGGCATAGCAACTAAGTCGGCAAATGAGGGCTATTTGGACTCTGAAATTTGCTGTGTGAGCAACAAGGAGACAGGAAGGAGTCTGGCTTAGCGGAGAACTGAAAGTGAAACTGCTTGTGTTTTGCTTGTATTTACTGATACCATGGAAAACTTGTTTTTGGTAATGTATTGTATATTACTATTTTGAATCCTGCTGAATCAGTTACTGTGCTTTCTGAATGTGATTGCTGCTGCAAACTCTGACCAGCCAGGTCATCTTCAGCAGGGATTGCCANCATGTTGCTTGTATCTTTACGATTTATATTGTTTAATTTGTTTCCTAGTATGATTTGATTGCTTATTAGGAACCTGTGACTATCACTAAGTGTTGTATCTTATGATTCTTGATGAATGTGGTTTTTTTCTTTTATGTACACTGAGAGCATATGCACCAAAGACAAATTCCTTGTGTGTCCAATCACACTTGGCCAATAAATAATTCTATCTATCTTCTGTCAAAATGGGGAGAGATTAATTCAGATGCTGTTGCATGCAACTTGACAATTTGTTTGCAAAATCGTCATCTCCTGAATTAGTTGATCTAACGCAGAAGCATATGGCTGTCCAGATGGTGGATTATAATTCATACTATATCAGATCCAGCCTCCTTCTCAACATCTGGAGAGTTGCAGATTCCCGAGTCCTGCTTCAATCCATTTATGCTAGAAGCTAACAAATGCCAAGGGGTGTTTGTTACCTTTACATAAAATTTTGTCTTCCGTCTCTGCTGTATTGCTTGCCAATTGTTATATAGATATGTTAGTTGAGCCTGTTCACAAACCTCACCTTCCCTATTGTTTAAACCAGTTCCAAATGAACAGTGATGAATTAGTTAAGTAGATACAGAAGCAGCCAAAGTATCTCCAACAATGTTTTCCTTCATTTAACAATGATTATTGTATCAACTCGCAAAGCATCCCTGGCCTGCTCTTGAGTTGCCATAGGCAAGGGAGATGGGAAACCGACAGAGCAACACCACAGCCAAAAACAGAAGTACCTTCCAGACTTATCTTTCTCAAGGCTGTCTCCCAGAATTACCCACTGTGGGCAGAGGGGAGTGATCTCTACAACTTGGTGAAACTGCTCCGTTGGTGAATATGT